CTTTTCATATCGATAGTGCTAACTGTTGTCTGAGTGTCTATATAATCTGATCTGTGTTAAATGTAACAGATATATTCCTTTCATACTAGTGATTCACTTACTAAGAGGTCGCGCTCTTTTGTATCCTGATGCTGCACTCCCGATACATCCACCTGTCAACAACATCATTCATTTGTACATATTAATGAAAAATCATGTGTGATGTTGTTATTGTTCATATAACAAAACAAACACAAACAAAAACAAAAAGAAAAGGCCATTTAGACACAGTATTCACAAGTCAACATACATATATGAATGTATTGGAAATAAACTAAACATAATAGCTACATATAAACATTCTTGAATCCTTTCAAACAATTTCAAAATTAATAACGTCTACAAATATTTCTATATGAAAACGTTTATCCGCCGCATGTGTAGAATATATTCAGTGAATACCAGTAACTGCTTGATCCTATAAGATAGTTGGAGCAAGTATAAGACAGCAAAGGGAAGAGACAGACAATATCTAACCAACAAACAAGTCATACATATTATTTTACTAGAAATAAAATATTCACATCAGTGTCTCCCGATTCCCTCAAGAGTTGAATAAACGTTGTTTTTCCACTTGCGATGTTCCCTTCCACAGAAACCTATAACGGAAGACCTATTTTATAAGGTTATAGATCAATGACATCTTTCGATATAATACATTTTCACCACTAAGAAGCAAAAAAATAATGTGTGTACATATGTGCTTTTCGTGGCTGTCATTAAAAGGACAATAATTTCCTTATTAAATTTCATTTCTAAAGTAACTATTTTTCTTTAATATAGTCCAACCTCGAAAATAGCGGGACAAATTACAGACTTCAAACACTATAGTAGTAGATGTTTGAATGTTCGAAATCAGTTTATAAACAGATCAACATTGTATTAATTACAAAGTATTTCATACATTGAAGAGCTTCTATGTACACAGGTAAGTATATTAATGGTAATTAACTAATACATCATATTTATCATTTTGTAAAACAATAATTATTTTGTTTTACACAGTATAAGAATGATGAACTCACATTAAGCGATTTAACAGGTCTACTGAAGAAAGACACAGCTTGACTTCCTACAAAAACAGTATGAAAATATATACATATCATTAGAATCTTGATTTAAACTTAATTGATGAAAGGAGGCAAAATATGAACAAACGAAAGATTCACACGGCGGTCCCTAAGACCAGATGTTTTGGAAGGGTAAGCGTGTTTTGATCTTGGACAATCTTGGTAATGTCATGTTCTAAAATGAGAACCAGATCAATAACGAAACCACCAGACATTCAACCAAGTATTAAATAAATCAATTTCATGTTGCATACGGGAATGAAACATTTCTCAAACAGGTGACAAGGTAAATCATGTCCTAAAATCCGAAAGAGTTTAGAAATAATCCAGATGTTTGTAATCTAAAACTATCTTGATACCATGTCTGACGTAGCCAAGGTTTCCGAGACTCGAGCTCGGCACTGAAACCTTCAGAGACAATAATCAATATAAAATACAATTTATTTTACTCATAGAAGCAACGAGTATCATAGCTTTCTGGTAAATATCTTTGAAACAATACCCGGACAGAGATGACGTACGAGTGATTGATATTATATATTGTGAGATACGTTTACATATAATGATTGATAGAAATATCACATATTGTCCTTACTTAATACATAATGGGATATACTGATTGCTCTCTGTATATTAACATTGTCGTGTCTGTCTGGGAAGTGACTTTCGAATTATGAATATGGTATGATAATCTCTACATGCAACATTTACCACATGTTCTCTGTGAATCTCAGGACATGCACTTTTATATGTTATTCTTGTCAGATTGCCATGGTGATAATGCCTTAGAGTTCATTATTACTAAAATTTGAGTTGCAATCGACTACAAAAAAAGGAAATATGTTGCACTTCCGGATTAAAGGATACCGGGTAATCCGGACCTCTGTGCTAATTAGTGGTGGAGAGTCTCTGTCATATTTTTTGGCCAACAGCCAGATCCTGTAAAGCAAAATCTGTAGTAGTTGTCTAAATTAACCCTTGACTGATTTAAATGTCTTTGAATATGTGTATTGAGCTGTGAGAAATACACATGAAGAAAAGTTTAACAATACCAAGTTGTAGGTAGATTGTGTAATGTCAGTGTGCGGACTGTACACTAGAGATATAAATACAATTCGTATTGATTAAGTTCCTGGTCTCGTAGTGTGTTGACGCCGAACCAACTAAGAATGTAGAAGCTTTAAAATGTCCTTTAATTAAAATATACAACCTACAGGCTATAGTTTGTGTTGAATCTATTAGATTAAAGATTTCAAACTCCATTGAGATATGTTTGAGTGCAAAAGTTCAGCAACCACTGTAATACGGGAATCTATATTATATTACCCATATCTCACCACAATGTACAATATACATTTAAACAAATACTATTGATATACAACAAAGTTTATTAAAACTATGTATCAGAAAACATACCCACAGCTTCACTATAGAAATATTATATAACAACGAGCAATAGTGTGTTACTTTATACTGTACCACGTAGTGTCGGTGCCAATGGTAAGGATTTCCAAGTTCCTGGTGTAAGTTGTCTTGTATGTTTTCGAGCTAGGTTAGAAAACAAAGAGTTACAAAAACGTTTTGTGATAAGTCCTGACAACATTTCTTCTGATTCAAATAATTATTCAGATATCCAAATCCCTATGGTAGGTGTTGTTTCTATACTCGTAATATCCTACTTTGAGTAATTATTAAATTCAGTACTTCACATACGAATACGAAAGTATACACTGGTTATTCCCAAATTATGAGCAATTATTGGTTCCAAGCCAGCACTAAAACCATACACGTACAAGTAACACAATGATTCTTTAGTCTGATTAAAATTAAATTGAAGAACATTTCACATGTTGGCCTATACGTTTTTTTTAAAATCTATTGTCGAGAAAATTACATTTCATGCGACATCAAGGTAAAACCATTTTTTCTGGTTTTCTTACCACCTAATGAAAAATGACAGTTGCTTTTCGCTGAAATAACCACATAAAGAGGTTACTTAATGATTATAGAAAGGAAATCCTTATCTGTTGATCAAAAGTCTGGATATCTTTGTTCATTTTTGCGTCATATATGATAGCGCATGCGCACAAACACCGTCGCCGGTAAACAAAGATGGCTTCCCGTCTGAATCGATCTCGACAATTTTGGCAATTGATGTCACTTATTTTGTTATTTTGAATTAACTTAGAGATATCAAATAACATTTGTCACACATATAACAAAATCCTATTTTAATTGCTGTGTCACTACTGTCGCTGTTATTTCTGACGTCATCATGTGAACGTTACAAAATGAACTGCCTTGTTTTCAAAAATATTTCGTAACATTACCAGCGCTTAATTTGATATTGGCTTCCCAAACCGAAGAAGTGGTAAAGCTGAACATTGGAAGTCAATTGTAAATATCGGTAGAGCGTAGGAACGGAACGGAAATATAAAAGATATATATGTCTTTTTTCCGTGATGTGCCTTAATGCATTTCCCTTGAAACAAATGGTATACATGTACGTTTGGCTGAAACAGGGATATTAGAAAATCGGTATGGTGCTGCGAATCAGAATTTAAGGGGGGAAAAAAGACAAAAAAAAAACTGTGCACATACAAAATACAACATGCCAACTTTGGAATGCAGTATCAGCACTTAGTGCTAAGTGATTCAATACTAATGATCACATTCTGACGTTGGGAGTATACAGTAACACTATGTGACGATCTATAGCTTATGTAATACACATGTCCATCTTTTAATTCTGTAGAGACCTTAATATGATCCTTGTGTACACAAGGGTGGGAGGATTTCAATAACGATTTTTTTCCTCGTGATTACCACATACTTGATAATATGTGTCTAGAGAGATAAAAGTCATGTAAAGAGAGAAAATAGCCATAAGCACAATATACATGTACGTTTGTATGTATTGACCATTAATATAGTTTTAACAATCTATGCACTTTACGTATTGTAAACTGCTCAGTCACTAGATGAAATATCTGGAAGTTATCTTGGTAGTGAATTATTGCCGATTCTATGTCCACAATACTGACGTCACAAAAGTCATGTCTTTGTCATTTATAGTACTACCTTGATTTAAAACAATATGTATTAATTGAATTCGGCATAACATGAACGTCGACCAATCCAATATATATAGTTCAGAAATAAATACGTTATCTTAAATCACTCCCTGTAAATGTGATTATCTTTTTCGTCTTGTCCACAAGTTGTCGTACATAGAACCCCTGGAGAATCGAGGATAATCATACTGTCGCTGGTTACTGTTTATTCTACATGTATATACGGTTTGTTGTGTTATAATCTGTAAGATTGTAACAGATAACATTTGTGTCCGTTAAGATTAATCGTCAGAACTGTCCATGTCTGGGTCGGGTCCATGTCAGAACCATTAGCGCATTATCCCTAAAGTGTTATCACAGTACACTCTCAATGTTAAATCACGCTCTCTGTTTTTAAACAGTCCTTGAAATCATACAAAGCCTGCTAAAATCGTCTCTGTTAAAGCAGGGACGACAATATAGCTGCAGTTAAATATTCCCGCCTTATAAATAATTTTGAATTTCTCTGCATCGTTTAAACGTTTGATTGAATAGTCCATATATATACTTCAAGGAAAGATCGTGTGGGATTCGTTATTTGGATTTGGACCAAATTGGTATCCAAAGGCTATAAGCAATAAATGATACACATTTGACCTTCCCTGATCTATAAGGATATACGATTTTTTAAAGATATGTTACACATATTTCTCAATCTTACATTTATCAAAATCTACCAAAATGAAATTCGACAAACCGACTGTATGCGTGAATAAAATTGCGTGAGCAAATTCAAATGCAAAAGTGTACAACTAGGATCCCAACAAGGCGTATGACTTGACCACTCAGTCATGTAAATTCTGCAAAATAGCCCCGAAAAAGACGACGTAATGGCCAGTCGACTACCTGTCGAGGTGAGATGACAACCATGTAACATGGTAAAGCTAGTAACTTCAATGTTTATACAATGACATGGTAATTCCATGATGTATGGGCTGAGCGTTCTGAACTGTGGCTGTTATGTCATCAGTTGTCGAGTTCAATGTTTGTGTATAATCACTTCATTGAACGTAGAAAATCAAACTACAAATTAGCTCTACATAGCAATTTATTTTATCGTTTCTTCATGATCGACACCACTTCTAACAATAAATACAGCTGTATTTGTGTGAGACAACGATTGTCTCTGGTAAAACCAGCACTACACAGGACCTCGATCACCTGATGTATTCATTTCTGAAGTAACTGAAATTTATGTAAACAAGACACAATGACAAACATATAAATATCTAATGCTAGTTGTACCTGTCTTAAGAGTCTAGCGCTGACAGCATATACCTTTTCCTTTATTGACACTTATAGTTTTGGATATAATACTGTAAATTAAGGACGCACTGTTATTATACAAATGGGATCTTTGTCAGATTACATGTATGATAGTGGTAGGACATTGATCGAAAGGGTTTATCTAATTGTTTAACCTCATCTGTGGTTGCAATGATCAATTGTAGTTTTGCTTAATTGACCATCGATACGTTAATATTTTCTTGTGTTTTAGAAAAAAATATTTGTATGCAAATTCTAGGTAAGCAAGGTGTTTTAAGTCCATAGATATAAAAAGAATGAAAAAAAATTACTGCATCAAAGAGTGCATTCACATTCTATGGACATTGAATGGATAGTCAGTAGATTGGAAAATCAATTGACTACATCAAAAAGATTTATTTTCCAATTTTAACTGATCATTGTTTTCGGATTTTAAATAATTTCTTATCACTAGCATATTGAGTCATTTTGTGTAGTTAGTATGGAGTTCCGGAAACTGAATAGTGTAAATCGGTTTTAATTTCAGTCCTTCAATAAAGACCATGGGACTTAAATGCAAATTTTATATGTATAATCAGAACTTTTCTTCTGACATGAAATCACAGTTGTAATTTTTGGAGAGGGAGGGGTTGATGGTAGGAACATGGAATGATGTTTGTCTCAGAACACATACATTAAAAACGTAAAATGGCAAATACATTTATATATTGGTAAACAGGTATGCCATCCCTTTCTCACTGGACATCACATAGGGCCATATTCTTGTGATGTATTTTACAGATCAGTATATTACCATGTTTTCTTTTTATGCAATACAATGTATACAAAACAGTAATAAGTATATCAATAGACAATGTGAACACTTCCACACTGAGACTTGATTTATAGCCACATACATATCAAATGACATCATCTATCCATTCACACAGGCGTGTTAATATTACACCAATGCATGTCTACAGGTGTGTTATCCTTGTCTGTAACATTATTAAATTGTACCTGTGTATTGTTTGTCTACTCTATGCTCTGTTTCTGAAATGTTCATAGATCAGTGTCTCTGTAAACTGGCAATGGACACTTGCCTAGTGACCAGACAGGTGCATGGACATTTCAGGGCAATAATATCCCGACACCAATTCATATAATCTATAAGAACCTGCTGCCCTAGACCAGAAGTCTGCATTAATTAACTGATGCCTCATGAGAGACCTCATTATATTTATTCCTACATCTTTATGATATGTACAAGTAACTGTACACTGCAGAACTAGGTAATGTAACCATATCCAATACTGCAAGTTGTCATCAATACAAATATGTAACCACACATATGAGAGTGATTGAGTGTGTTGTGTTTGTTTGTAGATTTTTCCGTTTGTATCAGTAATAAATCAGAAAGGCCAGCTTGCATCTTTAGTCATCTTTTATCATGACCCATAGCAAAATACACAGTTTTTTGTTTAAATTTTGCCTTTCAAAAGAAATATTTGTTGATTAAAAAAGAAAAAAAAAGTTGTAACAATAGAGACCAACTTGAGACCTTTGACACTGCCACATCTTGTCATACACATTTTAACAGAAGAACTAATTTATAATCATATTTATTGCCTTGATATTGCAAGAAGAAATCAAAAGAATATAGGTCAGAAGTGGACACTTTTATGACTTTAAATGATGTATAGATTTTATGTTTAGTTACTTGTGAGTATCAAAGAAATAGATATCTTCTTAATTTTGGGAAAATGAAATGCTTTGACAGATGAAATAATATGACTGATAAAATTATCATTTTCTTTGGCCAGGTTGTTGCACACATGATGCGGTTCCTGAGTGTTTCAGACAGGAAGGAGGCAGCATTAGTGAATAGGATTTGGTATGAAGCATCTCTCGACCCGATCCTCCAGGATGATGTTGTTCTACACTTCCATGCCCTAACAGCCAGTGACAGAGCACCAAACATTACCAGACGTAACCTACCTCATCTGATTGTCGACCAGTTTGACAATTCCTTGAACTCCAAGGTAGTGCTCCTGAAGTCCTGTCAACAGCTCAGTCAATCATTGCAGAGTCTTTCTCTGAAGTCAAGTAACATCACAGAAAGTACATTTGTAGAGTTATTGTCTCAATGTAACAACCTGGTCAGTTTGAATCTTAGCTGCTGTAATTCACTTTTCATGTCAGGCAAACTTCTTGAGATGAATGGGGATATGCAGAAACTTAGGTCAGTGTTAGGCTCTGTGCTAAACCTTGATCTGTCAGCTATACGTTACTTATCCGATTCTACCTTCAATCGTATTGTGACAGTCTGTCCAAATTTGAGTTCATTGTCTCTGGGATCAGCACAAATCACATTCAATAGTTCATCCTATATGCCCAGGGGGAAGACAATGTGTGCCAACAGTACGCTGTTGACATTTGACAATATCCTGGAGTTTTTGAGACTTCAAAGTCTTAAAATTAAGTCATTGAATTTGAGTAGAACAGCTCTAACAGATGATGCACTAGAGACCCTGGTATCTCTGGAAAGTTTGGATTTGGAGGAATTGGTTCTTGTCTGCTGTAAAGATATTTCTGATTCTGGAATTTCTGCTATTAGTAAACATCAGGCAAAATTGAAGGCAATTGATTTGAAGGGATGTTTGGAACTCACAGATGCTGCTTTAAACTTGATTTGTAAAAATCTGCTGGCTTTGGAGAATCTAAAATTGGGAAAATGCAGAAGGATATCTGATCATGCTTGTAAGCAATTGAAACACCTGCCATGTCTTGAGATGGTGGACCTATCTGAGAACTACCTTGTGACTTCTCCTGGACTCATAGAAGGCCTCTGTGGTAATATTAATATTCCACTTACACATCTCAACCTGAACTGTTGCCCTAGTGTAACAGACAGTTTCATCCTGTCCATGTGTAAAGTGGTGACAAACCTTGTACATCTTGACCTCGGGTCGTGCTTCCCTGTCACTGATCTCAGCGTAGTCAATATCTCCAAACACTTGAAACATTTAAGATACCTACGACTAGCATGGTGTAAAGAGATCACTGATTTAGGGCTGCTAGGATATGAGGGTATTGACAGTAAAACCAAGGATCTACATGAACACAACGATCATGGAAAATGTCGATGCACACGGAAATACAATAGTACTGAAATATTCCGTAAGCCTACTGGAGATAAACATTCAAAAAGCATGAATGGAGAAATGGAGAAACTTGTGTCCAGACATGATGAAGTTTGCTCCCTGAAAAACCTTTCAATACTTCGTGAACTGGATTTATCTGCATGTTCCAAAATCACAGACACTGGATTGACACAAGTTATCAAGTTCAAAGAACTCCGTTCACTGAACCTGAGTATGGTTCAGATTACAGATTTAACTGTGCACTCAGTAACATCCAACAATCCAAGCCTGGAGCATCTAAGTTTAGCTCAGTGTGCAGCCCTGACTGATGACGCCATTGAATGTGTTGCTAAGCGATTACCTAGGTTGACCAGTCTAGACATCTCTAATTGTGATAAACTGACCAATAAGAGCATACAGTTTCTTAAAGAGCATACAAGGAGGCTGCGTACTTTGGATGTGTCATTTTGTAAGAACATATCTGTTTCTGCTGTAGATGATTTGGAAACTAGTCGAAATTTGAAGAACGTACATAAAAGACTGCTAGGTGGCAGCTTTTGATAATGGTTTGAAGAAATTGTGAAGGCTAGTAGTTTGAGGCAAATTTGAAGTTCTGAAAACTAACATGTCTTTCACATATTAAGGATTTAGCCAATATATATATTGATATAAATGGATGCCAGCGTATGGCTCAGGTATTCCATATACCATCATGGCGTAAGTTGTAGATAAGGTATGCTGTTTTTCACACAGGCTCAAGCAAGCTCCTTGTAAAAAGTTTAGTATGAGTCAAATTACCTTGACATTCTGCCAAGGACATGTACGTGGCTGAAAACTGGGAATTTTTAACAAGGATATCTGTGAAAATTGGAAAACCTTGTCAAGGAAATCGATATCTATGTGGCAGTGGGTAGAAAGTGCAGAACTCCATCAAAGGGGGAAAAGTGGAAAACTCTGTCGAAGATAAACTTTACATAATGCATGGGGAAGATACACAAATGTGGGAAAATTTGGTGACAATAAGGAAACTCCACTGCATTCTTTTTTAGAGGTGGAAAGATGTGGAAATATTGAAGGTAGTAAAATTGTATTGAAATATGGAACACTTGATTAATGAATTTTATAAAGCTGTTTCTGCTATGAAGAGATGTATATGTACATTTTTGTATGCTTTCATAAATCTTATGGTATGACATTGTTCAATCTATATATATCTGCCATAAACTTTCATTTGTCTTGAGGTCCCCTCCTACAGTCTCCAACTAATTTTCTAACTTAGGTTTCACATAACCTTTATCGTTTGACCATAATCTCTTTCAAGCTTATTAAGTTTTAAAACTATGGCATGAAGTTGTGTTTTACTGGATGCCAGTGTACCATAGAGCAGTTATTGCTCAGTGTTTTTCAGCATTCAGCATCTGAAATCACCTATTTCTCTTTCTGATCATTTTTTTGGAAGAGTTATTTCCCTTGGTTCTGTTCAGCTTTCTAATTTTGTCTAGTAATAAGTAATAAGTAAATAATGGACGCAGGCAAAACAAATGCCTCTATATCCATATCTAAAGTTATCTGATGATCAGGAGATGCTTCCTATAAAAATTATAAGATTCTCAGTTATTACATATGTATAGCCAATCAAATGCTAAATAGCAAAAGCATTTCACTTTTTCAAGTTGAAATGACATTAAAAGTTTCCTCTTTATATATTGTTTCTGGGATCTCCCGCAGACCTCCTTCAGGCTTGGTTGCAGTCTTAGTGGCATTTGGATTATAGACAATTATTGCTTCATTGACATTTTCATATTCGTAACAATTTTCTTTAACTTCCAGGGATTTATGTGTAGTATTCCTCTCCATGATACTGTTTCAGAGTACTTGTACATGATGGTTTGTTATTGGATATATATGTTATTGTTTTAATTATCTACAGAAAAGGGAAACAGTTTTTGTTATTCTTGTGACTATTTCTTAAAAACATTGTCTTTCGCACAAATCTTTTATTAACTTAAGTTACCAGAACATTTCATGTCTAGTTTTTGTGTTACATTTCCATTTACAAACCTAGCTAACATATAACTATATAAATATATATATGTGTGTGTGTGAATCAAATCAGATATATGGTTGACATCAATATTTTCTTCATAATTTTTAGATTTTATAAATGCTTTATGCCCCCACCATTTAGGCCTAATGAAAGTGGGGGTAGGGAGGGGTTAGTGGGCAGGGAAGAGAAGGGCATACATTGTTACCCATGTTCGGCCTTCATGCCTAGAGCTTTTGTTCATATTTACCCGATAATGTCATAACATCAAGTTCTGCAGCTTATAACATATCATATTGAGCTTATCGTAGTAAAGTGGTCTTCAATGATTTGTTAAGGGCCAACATTTGTGATAACTTAGGGAAATACATAGAACAATGATACTTATAGGGATAGGAATATTGGGGAATTCATGCCCTTCATATTTTTTTTTTGTTTGTATATAAAAATTATAAAAACAATTTGTCAAAGTCATTCTGGATTGTCTCCCTTAAGCTACATGTGAACAATATGTTACAATGACAACTACAAAAATGTAGAGAAGGTGATCATGAGGTGGGAGGGTGTTGTCATACATTGTATGTCCTTGAACATTTAGAGCCTCTTGACCCAACTTGATTTGGTACCATGTGTTGAGCCTCTCCTATGTTGTTCAAATAGAAAGCCACCAACTACCACAGGGAAACTGCAGGTCCATTTCAAGATTACTCTGGCTGTTCATGGACAATGAACCCATCAAACCATCAAGTATCTTTAGCTGCATAATGACCAATATTGACATTGGCGGGTGGAAGTGAGGATTCTAAGAGTCTTTACATTCAAGTGGATAATTCGCATGAATTCATGTAGTACTTTAATGAGCTCCAAACTGATGATGTTAATATGTATTGTTTCTAGTGTGATTTTTAGGGGTTTTTTATTATTATTTATGTTTATGCTTTGGTAATAAAACAGATTGTTAATTTTAACTTATACAGCAATTAAAACTGTTTGTCAATGTCATATCATTATACATTTCAGTAAGTTTTAGAATATGTGAAATTGGTGACTATCTTTTGAATGTAATCAATGTTTTAAAATCTTTTATAAATAAATTGTATTTCATTGACTCTCATCAGAGTTTTGAAATATTGTACGTTCATTGTACTTAATTACAGCATTAATATTTACCATATTGAAAATGTCTTTCATCCATTAAGATATTATATGCACATGTTAATCTGCACTATGCATTTGGGCTACATGATAAAGTATTTTGTGACTTGGTTTCTGTATACTTCGCATTGCCAGTCTTATGAAATATGTGTCTTTTATTCCTTTGTTAATCCTGTGAATAACATGCTACCTTATATAAAATAGAATTACAGTCGAACCTCGTTAACACGAACTCGTATAACTTGCATACCCTTTTCAATTTGAAGTATTCCTCCGGTCCTGACCAAAATTTCACACTACATAATATTGGAATTCACTTAAATTGAATACTCCCATAACTCAAGTTTTCACATGGTCCTGAAGACTATGAGATATTGGGATTCAACTGCGGTTAGTAAGTTATGTTGTATGGTAAAGAACATTGTATATTTGTACACATTTATACAGGATGCAGATGGTTGAGAATTTTTCCTTTTTTTTCTGGTAATGTAAAATGAAAAATTTGTGGCAAGTTTCATAAATCTGATATGAAATTTCATATTACACATGTAATGAAAAAAAAGTATGTAATGGACAGGGTATATGTAGTTATGTGATAAATAGTTTGACTGGTTAAGTCATTGTACTTAAAGATTTATTAACACGAGTCAAATGGCTGAAATTATCAGGTTTCAGTTGCATTTTAGAATAAAATAATCTTTATGAACATGGGAAAGATGGTGATCTATTATAAGTGTTTTCTTATTGGGGACCTTCAACTCCACCTAATTTCTCCTCGGATATGTACAAGATATGTAATCAATCTTATACCCTAGAACTTTCTTTACAGAGTTTCTCAATACAGAATGTACATGTGCTTATCATTGTAATTAGAACTGTCGACAATGGTACATGAAGTCAAAATTTCACTCATTTGTAATAGGAGCAAAATTGATTATTTCACAGGGAAAATAGATACACCATAGAATTTACACAAACAATGTACATGTATATGTTTATTGTAATGAGAGGTTTAAAAAAAGTTTTTTTTTAAGTTTCTCTTTTGAAGTTATTGGTTCGGTTTTTGATGTTTATGTATGTGTTCCCTGTATTCCTATCAGACTCTTTGATTGTGTTTTTACCTAATTATCCATTTTTCTTGAATGAGAACAAATTACAACACATGGCATTAATTGACATACATACTTTTTGTATATGTGGGTATAGAAACTGTATATCTGTTAATTGTTGAAATCATTACAAATATAAGAAGAGATGTTTCCATTGAGTTGATATCTATTGTTATAATTGGTGATAATTTAATATTTATATTTTGAATGTGTAGATATATCAACTTGATTTCCATTACAATATCTGTGATAATTTTTTTGCCACCCACATGTTTTACTGGAGAGCTTTATGTGGTTTTTACATGGTGAAGATGAATTTGAATTAATCTTTTAAAGATTAAAATGATTTGATTTTACAATTGTATCTACATGCCTTGAATAAAAAAATGTGATGTTACAATATTTGTATGTTAAAAGCTTGTAGATTTTCTCACAAGTGTTGCCTCTTAATTAAAATTAAAACTGTCAGAGTTTTGACTTTCCAACTATTTAGTGAACAACTCTTGTTCATTTTCAAGAATATCGGCATACTCTTTCAAATTTAAATAAAAACTGAAAAAAATCTTTTGAGCCATTGCTCATCAGTTCAGTTTTTTAAAAACTTATATTGCGAAACAAATGTATTTCTGTTGATGTAATAAGTTTTTAATATGTTATATCATCAGAAACTGTTTTTGTTTTAGTTTTGTTTTTTTAGATCTTATGACACCGTAAATTCTTGATAACCTAATTTTAAGATTTGTACATTCCTCCTTTAAACTTAATAAGTTTTTATTTCTTTAATATTACATATATATAGTGTATGGGTACATAGTATTAATGTATGATATACAGTATTATATTATTGTATAATACACAACACATAATCTGCCTGTGTTGTCTCCCTTTTCATTGTCATTATCTGGTCAACCTTTCAGATGTCAATCATACTAAACTGGGTAAAACCTGCACATGTTAAAAAACGTTATAAAAAGAGACATACTTCTATCAATGAGAAGTATTTTTAGAGGATATTATATATTTGTGTATTGCTACAAATTACAGTGTTTATAGTGAAGAGTTTTTAGTTAAACCCTCCTTTATACTATTAAGTACTAATTTATATAACTTAATAGATTTGTATAAGTCTGCCGATACTTTTATTGAATGGAAATTATGTCAATTATCCATAGATAGAACTTTGATTTCTGATGTTTTCTTGATATACAGGCAATACACTACAAATACTGTCAAAGTCATTGGGTACCTCTGTTATACAATATGTGGCTAACAGTATACATGTAGCTTAGTATTTAATACATGTATGAAGAGTTTGGTTGTTTTCAATGATTTCAGGTATTATTAACCAGAGTATTAAAGAAGAGCAAAGCAAACTATGATACAGAGACAAGAATATAGATACTGTACAGTTGTTAATATTGGTGGGGGATTAAATTTCACTGTATTAGTGGTCATCGAAGATAACACAAAATTATATACCCAGGAAATGTTTAACATATATCTATTTTATGTACCTATATACACAGATGTATAGACATATCTATACCAATGTATAGATGTGTGAAATTTAGTTACCAAGAATTAGTCCAAACTGGAATGACTGGGAAATATAAGCCCAATTAAACAACCATACCATGTCTTCATCTAGAATGACTATGTTTTATTATCAAATGAAATGAACTGTTCTGTTTTTAATCTTAATGACATGATCTATTTGTTACTTTTTAAAGTTTGGTTGCTTGTTACACATACATGTTATTTAAAAAATCAACTCAATAAAGATTAAGAATTTTGTAATTGCAGTTCTGTTTTGTATCTTAAAGCTTATCAAATCTCAATATTAAGCTACTATTTCAGTGTTTTCCATCACCTTGACCAAGGGTAAATAGACAGGTCAAAACATAACAAATTTTACTTTGTAATGTCAATAGTTCATTCATTACTTGATAATGTCAACAATACAGTCCTGACTTTATAATGTCAACAATGCAGTCCTGACTTTATAATGTCAACAATGCAGTCCTGACTTTATAATGTCAACAATGCAGTCCTGACTTTATAATGTCAACAATGCAGTCCTGACTTTATAATGTCAACAATGCAGTCCTGACTTTATAATGTCAACAATGCAGTCCTGACTTTATAATGTCAACAATGCAGTCCTGACTTTATAATGTCAACAGTACACATCTTAAGTACAGTCCTGACATTGTAATGTGAACAATTCATTCCTTACACAGTGATGTAAACAGTACGGTCCCGACATTGTAACGTGAAAAAATTCCTTACACAGTGATGTCAACAGTACGGTCCTGACATTGTAATGTCAACAGTTCATTCCTTACACAGTGATGTCAACAGTAAGGTCCTGACATTTTAATGTTAACAAATTATTCCTTACACAGTGATGTCAACAGTTCATTCCTTACACAGTGATGTCAACAGTTCATTCCTTACACAGTGATGTCAACAGTACGGTCCTGACATTGTTATGTCAACAGTTCATTCCTTACACAGTGATGTCAACAGTTCATTCCTTACACAGTGATGTCAACAGTTCATTCCTTACACAGTGATGTCAACAGTACAGTCCTGACATCGTTATGTCAACAGTTCATTCCTTACACAGTGATGTAAACAGTACGGTCCTGTTATTGTAATGTCAACAATTCATTCCTTACACAGTGATGTCAACAGTTCATTCCTTACACAATGATGTCAACAGTTCATTCCTTACACAGTGATGACAACAGTTCATTCCTTACACAGTGATGTCAACATTACAGTCCTGACATCGTTATGTCAACAGTTCATTCCTTACACAGAGATGTCAACAGTACGGGCCTGTTATTGTAATGTCAACAATTCATTCCTTACACAGTGATGTCATCAGTACGGTCCTGACATTTTAATGTTAACAGATTATTCCTTACACAGTGATGTCAACAGTACAGTCCCGACATTGTAATGTCAACGCTTCATTCCTTACACAGTGATGTCAATAGTACGGTCATGACATTGTAATGTTAACAAATTATTCCTTACACAGTGATGTCAACAGTACGGTCCTGACATTGTTATGTCAACAGTTCATTCCTTACACTGTGATGTCAATAGTTCATTCCTTACACAGTGATGTCAACAGTTCATTCCTTACAGTGATGTCAACAGTACGGTCCTGACATTGTAATGTTAACAGATTATTCCTTACACAGTGATGTCAACAGTAAAGTCCCGCCATTGTAATGTCAACAATTCATTCCTTACACAGTGATGTCAACAGTACAGTCCCGACATTGTAATGTCAACAGTTCATTCCTTACACAGAGATGTCAACATTACAGTCCTGACATCGTTATGTCAACAGTTCATTCCTTACATGGAGATGTCAACAGTACGGTCCTGTTATTGTAATGTCAACAATTCATTCCTTACACAGTGATGTCAACAATATAGTCCTGACATTGTAAAACTGTAAAATTAACACATTTTAATGTCAACAGGAAAAGAATTACTTTGTTTAGTCCAAAGTACAATCATTACATTTTAATGTCAACAGAACAGACCTATGGGTACAATACTTTGTAATGTCAACAGTAAAGCTTAATCAGTGCAATTATAATTTAGGACAACATTTACTTGTCAATAGCACAATCCAGACTTTGTGATGTTGACTAAATACAATACTGTATGTTACTTTCACCACTATACTTTATACTTTATCAAACTAGGGTTAGTCTTTTTTCTGATAGTGTTTATTCAAATGGAATAAATTATGATCACCATTTTTTTTATATTAATGTATTAATATAAACATTTCCTCTGCAAAATCATTTGATTTTTTCTGATGTATGCCTACCCATTCCGAACCGAAGAATACTTGCCGTCCTTCCGAAACGTGAACAATAGAAATATATGGTTGAGAAATATACTGGAGCGTATTTCCTGGAGAAACGATAAAATCAAAGAAGAATTATCGAGAGCCATGACGAAATACACTGAAGATAAAAAGCTAAGAAAACTCGTCCAATGTCAAGGTCTACGTTAAGTTTAATGATACAATTTACCAGCAGACTATTGGAATACCTTTGGGAACAAACTGCGTAGAAATTTGACATATTTCTTCCAATTGACGTCATCGCCTGACACATTGTGTACAAATTTGTGTACAAGAAATTATTTGCAGTGACTATTTATATTTTGTTTTAATTTTCAAGGCCAAATCTAGGTATAGAGAATTCATTCTCTTTGTCCATTTCTCGATCTCTTGTATACTTGAGAAAAACTATTTTCGTGTAATATTGTGTACTGTGTAGTGCACGGCCGACGTCTGGAGCTATTCGCAACACAATGAGAGGGAAATTCTCTTTCATATGCCAGGGTAAAGGTGGGTATTTCACCCTCGAAGTAGCAAAATGTGGTACGCCCTCGGAAAAGCCTCGGTTGTTCTGACATATGTGACCCCTCTGGTGGAATATCCCTATCCTACACCTCGACATATGTGACCCTTCTGGTGGAATATCCCTATCCTACACCTCGACATATGTGACCCCTATATTGGAATATCCCTATCCTACACCCCGACATATTGTGACCCTACTGGTGGAATATCCCTATCTTATGCCCCGACATATTGTGACCCTACTGGTGGAATATACCTATGCTACACCCCGACATATGTGGCCCCTCTGGTGGAATATCCCTAACTTATGCCCCGACATATTGTGACCCTACTGCTGGAATATCCCTATCCTACACCCCAATATATGTGACCCCTCTGCTGGAATATCCCTATCCTACACCCCGACATATGTGGCCCCTCTGGTGGAATATCCCTATCCTACACCTCGACATATGTGACCCCACAGGTGGAATATCTCTATCCTACACGCCGACATATGTGGCCCCTCTGGTGGAATATCCCTATCCTACACCTCGACATATTGTGACCCTACTGGTGAAATATCCCTATCTTATGCCCCGACATATGTAACCCTACTGGTGGAATATACCTACCTTACACCCCGACATATGTGGCCCCTGTTGTGGGATATATTCCTATACTACATCCCGACATATGTGGCCCCTCTGGTGGAATATACCTATACTACACCCCGACATATGTGGCCCCTCTGGTGGAATATCCCTATCTTATGCCCCGACATATGTAACCCTACTGGTGGAATATACCTATACTACACCCCGACATATGTGGCCCCTCTGGTGGAATATCCCTATCTTATGCCCCGACATATTGTGACCCTACTGGTGGAATATACCTATACTACACCCCGACATATGTGGCCCCTCTGGTGGAATATTCCTATCCTACACCCCGACATATGTGACCCCTCTGGTGGAATATTCCTATCCTACACTCAGACATATATGACCCCTCTGGTGGAATATTCCTATCCTACACCTCAACATATGTGACCCCTCTGGTGGAATATCCCTATCCTACACCCCGACATATGTGACCCCTCTGGTGGAATATCCCTATCCTACACCTCGACATATGTGACCCCTCTGGTGGAATATTCCTATCCTACACCTCGACATATGTGACCCCACAGGTGGAATATCTCCATCCTACACGCCGACATATGTGACCCCTCTGGTGGAATATCCCTATCCTACACCCAGACATATGTGACCCCTCTGGTGGAATTTCTCTATCCCACACCCCGACATATTGAATATAGCATACCTTGGTTTTTTGGGGGCAGGGGGTGGGGTGGAGGGGGGACGTGCCATTACATACTTAGGCAGACTTTACCTGGTGGATGTCGTCGATGAAGCCGAATGCACCTTTGATGTCGGTTACTTCCTCTACAGTCTGTAGCATGTTATATAAAATGTGTTGTTAGTAACTCACCTGAATATTCAGCAAGTTTATACTGTATATAGGTGTGGACTCATTACACATATAAGTATCTCTGTCGGTAATATCTCATTATACTACAATTTGAATATGATTTTTTTACATTTTATTTACGGGATATATTTAGATAAGGCTGTCTCACTGGACTCCTTTATGTATAGAAGTTTCTTTATGTTGACAATATTCATGTAGTGTTGATGCTGGTACCGCTAGCAGAATCATTGGATCATGGCGCCATGTTGTTTTTTTTTTGTTGTTTTCGAAATCACAGACCGATGTAAACATATCTGATTGTATCAAATACAACAATGCGGACATGAAAATAATTGATTTTTTTTTCTGACTGAATCAAAATAATTCAAAACATAAGAGCGTCGAGGGCGTTCACATTTTTTTTATGTAGCTAAAGTAATAATAATGTAAACAATATCATGAAATCACGTACATTTCTCCATTTCTAGAACAAACCGCACCTTAAGCAGGATATACAATTCACAATATGCTGTACATCTTTTATAAGTTAACTTAACAGAAAGTAGTAATTAAACTTAATCTTATTTAAATAAAATGAATTAGTTATATCTATACTGTTCTAATACAATAATTTATGTACAAAAAGATATTTTATTCTTGCATCCAATACAACTGTTAACATTGGCATCGACTTTGATCAGCACATAATTATTATTGGTAAATAGAGTCCGTTATCATGTAAACTTCAAACAATAAAAATAATGTCGTTTATCACAATGTGGCTTTGTGGCAGTTCAATTCAGGTACAAGAATGGAGAACTTTACACACAATAATTAAAAAAAACTTTGTACACAAAGGAGAGGGATTGTAAGCATAATTAATGTACATCTGAAAGCTGATCATTTCCTTGAGCACAGGAATAAGTCAATCCGATGTTCGTGGAATTTTCCATAGGGTTTAGTAAAAAGTAAATTGTACACGACCGACAACTCGTGAATCTCACGTCTTGAAATATTTTTTCAATTAATCCATTTCCATTTTTCGAATCTTGGAAAGTGGTGTCGCCGACTATACCAAAATCAAATCGACTCTGTTGATGATATTTAGTTAGTCCATACTTCATAATGAAAGCTATGCTTTGCTATCAATTAGCTCCCGTCGATCAACTTGTCTGCCAGCTTGTTCTCTTTGCTGTATCTGCTCGACATATGTACTGTAACATCCTCTGTACTGTGTTGTGTTTCGACCCATTTAAAGCGCATCAAAAAGAAAAGGTATGAAAATTGTCAGAATGTTTTTTGTAGCCTGGAAACCGTTTTCAAAGAGAAACGCCAGTTTCTGCAACATTGACTCTCAAGAATTTATCATCCGAACGTTAGCCCTGAAAGCAATACAAAATAATTAGTCAATTCCAGTTATCAGATCAAAATGAATTCCCCTAAATGTCTGTTTTCACAGATAATATAAATAAAATTAGATATCGAACATTTCCAGCAGCTTGAGGTAAACTTACATCCATTTATCTTTCGGTTGAATCTTTTGCATGATTTCCTTTTCGGAACTAAAATAATCTCAGCTTATTCAATTTCTTTTTTTCTATCATTAATTTTTTTTTAATCTTACACTGTTTCTGTAGATTATGATGTTAACGATGAATAGTTCTGATGACTTTTATTGAATAATTGAATAAGACACAGTGATAAATGAAAACAGTTCATACTTACGGTTTTTACACGAGAGGGTAGTATAGAATACAATAAACTTCTCATGCAGGGCAATGTAGAATCATTCACCAGTGTTGGAGAAACTATTTCAAAACATTTTCTATGAACCATCTATATTCTGAGTTAATGGTTAATGTTAAGACTATTGAGTACTTTTGCATTAATGTTAGATACAACGATTTTGTTTAGTAATGGTTGCTACAACTAAGAGTGAATGATAGCTACACTGTCATTACCATACAAGCATACATATGTATATATTGCAGACAAACATGGAAGGCTTGAAAACGCTACACTACTGTGTAAAGGCAAGCATACTGGAAGGTACTCTAGGAGAAGTCTCTAAAATTAGAACCATCCGCGCAAATATCCGGCAACATCAGAGATAGTGGAGAGGTGATTCGGGTTTTCATCAGCTGCTGTCCCCGAGAGCTAGGACGTCGCTATGGAGAAAGTTGGTCGTGCATGGAGAATGTGAATATTATCATACTAGGATTCATTTGTTATACGTATTGGTAAACGGATCTACAGTTGTTTAGTTCACGCAAGAGTTTAGCTGATACATGTATATACCTGTTGCTGAAGCCCCATTTCTGAATGAAATAAATTGATAGACACCCGATTTCAAACCAACGCTGACTAATTTAGTTGTATTTTCATACTGAAGCGATACAATATAACATATGTTATCCGAATGGTTGTGCCGAGAACCATTTATGATAATGTGTTCGCTATTGAGTTTGCTTAGAATTCAAAGTTCCTTTATTTGATTCGCTGCTCTTATCTATAAAGATATTTCGAGAAAACATTTTATAATTACCTTAACACGCACTGACTGACACGGATAAATGTATATTTGATAAATGTTGCAATAATTTAACTTAATTAAACAATATCAGAAATGAAGCTTTCATCAACATTAAATGTATGCAAAGGTTTTGGAAATAACGTAGAGTGGAGGTGGATTTAGATAATTGGTGTGTGAGTATATTGAGGATGACGTCATCAAACGCGTCATAAGGTTTAGGTAGAAATGACGATCACACCAGACTGTTACCCGTGTATAGATCACAGTTTATTAGGAGTATGGATATACACTGCTAGAGTAGGCTTTGTGCACGATGCATAGTAATATACCTAGTACTTGTTCCCTTCCTTTTAATAATTATTTAACTAATACTGTAAGAATGAGTGTAGCCACTTAATTGCAGTGGAAACTACGTCATCGAAATTACGTCATCGCTAAAATTTCAATACACAACAGGAAAATTGAGTTGAGTAAAGCTTTTTTATCTAGGTCATGTTTACGAGATATCTTAGGTAGTAGATATACAAACATTTGCGCTATATCAGTAAGTAATTTACATTGCTATGTAATTAGCATTATGTCAGCATTCATGGGTTTGATTTCGAATAAGTGACAGTTTGCGTTTATTTATTTATTTTTTTTTTATGATTTTTGAATTATTATTATTATTTTCAATAATCCTAATAGAAAATATATATTTTACAAGTGTATTTCTGAAATTATTTCCAGCTAAAATTGTACAGACAAGAAGAGAACAAGCACCGATATCTACTCTAGATCCTGTGATATTATCCATACCTACCCTCCCCTTTGTACCTAAGATTGACCTCCGGTTGTACTAAAGGACTGAGGCAGCCCTCTTGTTCTTGCGAATCACGCTTCGGACACGTCTACGAACATCAGACATTGGGGAATACTTGTTGTCATCTCCATGAAACTTGGTGCCAGGGACAAAACTCTGATATTGTAAGAAAGTTCGAATAAGTAATAAATTTAAATTATCACTTAATGAAACAATGTAGATTTATAAATAATCTAATCTAATACATACTTTTTTTAAAATTTTGTTTAAACGATGAGAACTATTCTTCCAAATAATGGAATCGTTATGATTTAGATGTACCCGGGTAACTTAGATAGACAAAAGGGGGTTGATATCAGAGGGAAAGGATTTCCTAAGAAATGGTGAAGATAGGTTCAAAGGAAGGGTTCACATCTACTTATACCCAAAATCACATGGGAAAGGTATGAAATGCATACGGCAAATTCGGGTCTTATATCTTACAATACACGTTCCCCTCTGATGCGCGTAATTTCTGATTATCAAAGGTCATCGAGGTCAATCTCAATCATTGCTATCTAAATTGTGAAGAGGTAAAAGCAGATACAGAATGGAACATATTGTAAAGACTTTGATTTCTTACAAATTTATCAAAGTTGAAGTGATTATATCGACAGAACATTTAAGATCAACGACACTGTTCAAACAATGATGTAATTTTTGGGTAGACATGTATAAGTAATATACTGGTTTGATATGTATGTATTAGTCACATTATAGTACCAAAATTGTGTGTTAGTGACGTCATGTGTTGACATCCAATCGATCTATAGGATTGCCAAGAGGTAAGGAATGGATATTCGGGAGAATGATAGACAACGTAATATAGATGTTATACGAAAGCACTTGATACATTTTCATCATCACGTCGGATTCCTTTATATGCCGTTTGAAGAGATGGATTCTCGGAATATTCTTCATTTTTATCGGTTGAAGGGTGTTGAATACATAAAGCGCAGACGCAAAACAGACCAACATATACATTAAACGCAATACGCGCGACATATAGAGACACATTCACACCACATGACACCTACAGTCAACACTATCATGAAAATATATACCTAATAACACATACATGACGTCATATCCATTTACAGTAACTGTCAATATGGCGATATGAAAACTTGATTTTATTCGTTTGTAAAATACATTCCATGAAATCTTTTTAAATATGAAAATGGTCCTATAAGTGATAAAATAAAAATAGAACATGGAATAGACGATATCAAGTCTCGTTGTAAAAACCAAAAAAAATATTTTTGAGAATCATCATTTGTTCGTCAATTTTATAAAAAAAAAAAAAAAAACTACTACAGTAAACATAACGAGTTGAAAAACATAAAAATGCACTTAACAATTGAAAAACATTATATATAATAATGATGTGGTAAGTGTTATCAAATGGAATGTTGGTTTATCTTGATTGTTAACATTAATTCATTTCAGGATCGAGTTTTGCGCCATTCTAACAATATGGCTTTTGAAATATATCATTGACCAGGTTCGTTACATAGATTTCATCAAAAAGTAAATTGATCGATTAATTGTATGCAACAAATACTAAGTCCTTATAAGGCTAATATCTGTTCCGGAGATGGCGACGAAGCAGCATTAGTTATCACGACATCTGCACAAGAAGCAAGCACTTACGACAGGCGGCGGACGTACAGAAGATGCTCGTACCGAAGTAGTTTTTTCACTATATTCAGTTGATGATGACGTAGCGCCTTCTCCACTTCCCCTGAAAAGACTTTAGGTCAGAAAAAGACAAAGAGAATAGTTCGTTAGTACATAGCAATCACGGCAACCAATGGCATTCATAGGCAACCAGAGAGCTTCCTTTTGTGTCAGTGACGGTTTTCTCCATGACAGGTTTCTTTTAATTTGGAGAGGCAAGAAACAGCCAAAAGCAAACATTGGTAAAGCCTCATTCCAGATTGAAATGATAGCAGCCGTGCATAGATAGGTATATATATGCATAGCCGGTGACGTGTAAGGAGTCATAAGATTCGAAGGTTATTTGGACAAAGCAGGACACAAATGGAATTCACAAACAAAGCGATATCATTTTGTCGTTCTATTAATTATTTGATTTTTTACAAAAGTATAAATAGCAGATGGATTGTATTTCATTACAAGACAATTAAACTCTAGATCTAAGTTATTCAAACATCATTTGATTATCTTCATCGAGTGTTCTTGTTATTTACATAGGTTAAGAATGAAATCTAATTACTATCGATTCATTTTCACAAGCATTCATAAAGGTCTTTGATAAAATAACTCAGTTACTGTTGGATATTGTTCTACAGTTATTTTCTAAACTCTCTAAATCAATCATCGCTTTGGTTACTCAAAACATTCTCAATGCATGTCACAATGTACAGTAGCTTTTAAAAAATTGTATGTTTACATTTAACACGTTTATTATGTTCAGATGTAATCAAAAGTTGTCTGTATTAAGATAAGCATATTGAGTAAATACTTTTGTCTGCAACATTGTGGAAGGTACATTGAGAAATGAATATCGGTGAAACACACACTAACGTGAGGGAACCCATTATCGGACACAACACTCCTTATTTTTCAATATGGAGGTTCGAGAAAAATCAGCCAATCAAAATTAATCATCATTCTATGCCTAATTTAAAAATCTATTGTTTGACATTTTTTGGATATTAAAATTAAACTAAATACAATTATGTAAATGATGCTGTATTTGAGTAAAAGGAAAGGTTTAGAATTTATTTATGACATTGAGTTATAAAATATCCAAATAATTGTGGAACCAAGTAATATGCAATACTTTACATTGCGAATACAGTTTACCACACATTATACACGAGCAGGATACATTTGTACTGTGTCTCGATTTGAGTACCGTTACGTTACAGGCTGGTAGTGCAGTTAAATATGTCACATAAATGATTAAAAAAAGTTGAAAGAAAAATTTGAAAAATACAAATTATTTAAATTTTGATATTTTTTCGTCTTTCTTTGTACATATCCATGCAGCTTTAAATATACGTGAGACATAATAGTTTCATTTAATATCAAAATGATCAATAGATAAAAGTCATTTATGTATGTATTATCATCATGTTTCAAGAATTAATTTTTGTCGTCATCAATGGAAACTTATATCTTATGTAGCAATAATTCAAATGAAATTGACAAATATTACTGTATTGCATGCTATAAATAACAATATGTTCTTAAGAAAGAAGAAAAAACAGTTTACTTCATAAACCAAAAATATATATAGTATACAAAATGAAAGAAAATCAAGGTAAGGAAATGAAAAAAATAACGAAACACATTTTCTGCATCTACATCTTTTACTAAATGAAATGGAAACGGAAAAGTGAAGAAAAAAACATGCAAAATCAAAAGGTCCATACATAACATTCCATTCTTGTACTATACTATGGATGAAATGAAGGAGGGGTGTGATGTTTTGTGGTGTCGAAAATGTGGGAAGGTAATGGAGTTTCTTCACACAATGGGACAAATGTATGTCTTGTTCAGGTTTGTTGTAATTGGTAGAAGCGACACAATATGTTACCAAAGTCTTATTTATCACTTTCGAAATTACGAGTGCAAAACTATTTCAAAAAATAAATTCTTTGTAAATTTATAGACAATACTCCTGAAAAATGCATTAATTCTCCCAAGCAAAACGATTTTTACCGTCGTTTGTATGGGACTCTAAATTATATATTCAGTCAATGTTATCAATCACAGAAGTCTTTGGCAACAAATATGTAAATGGAAAAGAGAAGCATAATCATTTAAAACTTTCGATGGAATAGATGTTGACGCTAGGTCTAATCCGAATTATTCCAACTGTTAACGCCGTTTTGGAAATACGAAAATATACCAAACTTTACTCTGGATTAATCATTAATTAGCCCTTCGAAAGTTTCATTTGAATATGTTTGTTAATGGCAGGTTAGCAGCGCATGCGCACATACACAAGGGATGCAGCATCAAGGCGAGTTACGAATCCACTGTTGAAGGCTTCGAATATTATCTAATTCTTTGACTTTTTAAAACAATATACAACATTAAAGGCAAACACTGAGAAGCATCATGATGTTTGATTTGATGTAAAATATCGAATAGTTTTGTCACAGTCGCATTTATTGATTTTTTTTATTTTACTGCCGGTCATTTTCTCAAAAAATATTTGTGAGGAAATAATGAGTTAGTATAAAGATTGTCCAGTCGTTTAGAAGTTGGTGTTACTATTTATTATTATTTCTTCAATAGTGGAATACTATATAATAGGTTAGTAGGTACTATACATCGCTATGAATACATGTCTATATTACATATTACTGTAGTACATTAGATATACTAATGCTAATCTGATAAAAACCACTCTTGTTTAATGGCGAGTTAGAGCCATTCTAGATAAATAGTTGTAGCGCGAAATATCTTAGTCAATCCATGCACTGAATTCGTCCCGGTGAGGCAGGCATGAGGTTCCGTCACTTACGAGGGGTTCCTCTGCTCCAAATCGACGTACAAATTCATTATTTTACTCTTAACGTCTTCGGATTCGGGTTTCAGATCAGGCTCTAGATACCTGTCCATAAGCTGGCGATGTTTGTCCATTTTGCAATGGATATGTTTCATCCGCTCTTTCACCGCTGCATACGTTTTTGGCACTTCGATGTAATCCTCGGGATCCATGCGTGATTCAATACGATACTGGAATCAGCAACAGCAACGTGCTAGTCAGAGGTTCTATTCCTCAAATATGTCTTGAACTCTACCCATATTATATTATTGGCTTATTGCAGTAAAACATAAGGTTTGTTTCAAGAAAGATTAACTTTCGCTCATGCTTAAATATAAAGGGTTTATGTTAAGGTGTAGTTTGGGACAGACTATTAAGGTTAGGTGAGTTATACATCCAGTTGAGAAATAATATCCCTTAGTTCTAACGCCTTATATTTGATTATACAATAATAATTGAAATTACAATTAAGTTATTTCATACGATATTTTTATACACCAAGTAATTTTATTACAGCAAAAAATAACGTTGTATAGTACGTATGCAGTTCTTTCCTTCGTTAATGAACCTAAACTTCAAATTATTTCCTCTTCGTGTCATATGTTTTTAAAACAGTTTTAGCTATTTCTCGCAGAGGTACGTTCATTTATCAGTAAACGAATGGTATCTAAACTGATCTTTGTTTTAAATTTTAATAGCAAAAGCAAATTTTGATACTGATTTACGTACAAGAAATAGACTTTGCGACAGATCCACTAGAAAGAAATGCATTCGACAAAACCACAATCACACTGAACCTTATAAAAATGAGCTTACACATTTAAAGCTGAACTTAAGCATATCAAGAGTTTGCAAATGTCAATTGTTAAATTTTGTTTCCAAGCAGTAAACAACAATAAAGTTATTCCTTTTATATCCAAATACAGAAATGTAAACAGATAAAGCTCTTAGATATTTTTAAAGGAAGGTCAACCTATTTTCATTTGCATTTCTCTTCAAACACAAAGCAACATTGCAGAAAGTATAATAAAGCAAATATAAAAGTAATAGTTTCATTGTCCAATAAGCATGACACATTTATTTAGAAATATGTTTAAATCGAATAGAATAACTTTGAACAAAAAATATGTATATCATGGAATTTATCATAAGATAATTTCACATATTTTTTTTATGCTTAGCTGTATTTTTTAAAGAAAAATAAAAAAAAAATCGAAACAGCAGATAGCGCCAACATAAGAAAAAGGAATCATAACACAGTTTTGCATCAAGGTATGAAACATTATAAGAATTATATTTTGTTTCATAGCAAAACGATAAAGCCATAACATTAATACATTGCAAAGCATACATTTTTTTATTTAAAAAATATTGTTTTTCTGTTTGATAACGAACACATGCATGTTAAAGAAAAATAAACCAACGTAAATTACAACAGTATTCTGCGGCAACACTGGAAGCAAACCCTATGTAAAACATCTTCACGTATAAAACATGAATGCATACTTAACACGGAATGGCATTTTCTGAGTTAAGCATTGAATGTACAGATGACATGGACAGACTCGTTTCGAGGTAAGCTGTAAGCACATACATGGCAACATGTTTCTTATAAAGCGCTATATTAGCTACGTCACGGAACACGTTCTTTACAAACCTGCCAAGACAAAACATTTTTGGGTTGACTAAACCCATCAACGTCCCGTATAGCTTTTCCTCCTCTGGTTGACGTAGTCGACTGAAATAATGTGATTTGAATCAAAACTAATGACATACTACAGCCAGTGACGTCAGGACATGACGTCACTTGGGTCTTAATTACGAAAACGTCCACCTGCTTCCCACAACGGACAGTGCATGTGTGTATATTGTTAGTGTGATAATGAAGGAATATATATTGGAAATCAGAGGATTTAACAGAACTCTAAAAAACAGAGTTTTCAAAAGAAAAACAAATTAAAAATTCTTATCACTGTTTTCAATATTATTCCTTCAATCTGAATATTGTAAAAGGAATTTATAGACATACGATGAGTATCTAGATGAAGCATCGTTCAATTCAGTCACGTGTTTATATAAACTCATGAATGAGAGAATTTGCCATGCAAATAATGATGTTTTACCTTCATTTCATGAATTATGTTCAATTACCGATTTGCTTAGCAACGCTTGGGAAGACAACGATCGATATGCGCAGCTATTCAACAAATAAATTACATGCGTTTTGTTCCCGACTGTAACAAGTGCTTTCGTATGTAACGTTTGATATCGCGCCATACATTAATCAAATCTTAATGTACAAAACCCAAAGTCAAATGAGCAAAAACGAAGCCAGCTTGTGAAATAGTTAAACAATTAGCTTAAAACACTTTAGTTTTAAAATATTCTGTGTACAAATACAGACACCTTGCAATAGACGCCAATAGCTAGTGAAAGGCAAGCAACTACCGAAGATGTTCATTAATGACCAAAGGTTTTGTAAGCAGTTGATGATGACGCTGAAAATAAAATGTGGATGTTAATAGATGGCGGATTAGTAGGAAAAAGAAATTGGCGGCTCCTGAATGGCGTCGGCGATAATACTCACAACTGGCTTGGATGCGGACATCGATGAACACGTGACATCCTCAGGGACAGTCTGCAAATGTTAATAGGATCGAACTATGATAGAAGCAGCAACTCTAGTACAAACTAAAGTAAAAAATCAACAATGAAAAAATACATAAAAAAAGAAACGACGTGCATAAAGTTCTCCCAAAACGGAAGGGAAATAATATATGATTTCTAATGCGTCTACAACTAACCTCTTCACTATTTCCCTATACACCACATTTTCAACCGAACCCTTCCCACGGTGTAAAGAGGATAGTATTTTGTACTGCTTCGTTATCATATGGAAATTCAAGTAATTCGATTGGGAGAACAAATCCGAACTTGTATGGGAATGAAAATTCTCGATTAAGAAGTTGGTCAGGTCTACAATAAATACCTGTTCCCTCTCTTCCTTCTTAATTCTGCGAATAGCCTTGGCAGCGTATTCCGACTTGGGTTTACGGCTTTTGGGTGTAACAACGTCGACCTTGCTTCCCACTAGAGCGGCCTGTTTTGGAACAAGTTAAGATCAGTGGACGACAATACGTATTGGGCTCAAGACGAATTTCGTTGTCTCATCCGTAACAGCAAGAATTGTTTTACTACTTATTTATTTTTAAATTTAATTCAAATTTTAACATATTCTAATTTCTTTATAATACGCCAGATATAAATACAGTTTTAAAAGCTTTATATCAGTATTATCACATAATATAGTTGACGTAAATAAAAGTAAAATAAAATCACAAAAATTAAAATTTTGAAGGAAAGTGAGTGATAGCTGCATGTCACAGAAATAAGCACTTAGACAGAACATTGGTAACATTGCGTTGCACTGATTCTATCTTGGGGTTTGAAAAAGGTAAATAGGTGTGTTGCAATTGAATCATCGCGTTTTACTTAGTTTATATCAAATTAAACAAAATAAATAGGTTTCTATTGTTTCAATACATTGTTTTACTTATTGAACTACATAAAATTATGCCCAATCTTATGGTCAGGTTTTAGTGATTAAACCATTCATAACTTTCTGTAAATAGCAAACATCGTTATCAAAACGTCAGGAATGTGCTAGACAAACGACGGTTTCATAAAAAGTACATGCATATTGTCGAGGCAAAATCTTTGTTCAAATCATTAACAAGTATTTCCGTCAAATCATGAAAAACTGTCAAAGTGTCACTGTGCAATACTGACTGTAAAAAAGGTATAGGTAAAACAAAATACATGATAATCCATGGATTTGAAAAATTACTAGACCAAAAGCACATAAATGGCATCATGCTGTCGCGGTATATGTGTATTAAATACTGCCCAGGAACAAGGAAATGTCGATAATATTGAAATATATGTAACCAACTAACTGGAAACAGCATGTAACCGGTCATAAGAGCAACTGATGCACTTTTTCTTTATCAAACATAACCAAAACATTGGTGATTTCGTATAAAAAATCAATAATCGAAATCACAATAGAAAAAATATTTTAAATCTAAGAAACTTTCAGTTTTTGAACTTTTGCAACAGACATATTAAACACTGCTTAATGCACGAAACGCATTATACTTTTATGTCTGGCTACCTAACCAAACACAAACTACAAGCAGGTGGTTTGTGTACGTAAACACACGGAACATCTATGGAAATCTATGAAACTGTCCATATCAGGTCTAGTCGTAGTTAATTAGAAATTTTGCCCGTGTAAGGTAAAATCGTAGTTAATTAGAAATTTTGCCTGTGTAAGGTAAAATCGTAGCTGACCTTATACAAATCGTACATTATGGATGAAGACATTTGTCGTTTTCCCTTTTTAATGACCTGCATCCTACAGCTGTGTACTATTGTTTGTGTAATGTGTAAATCATAACAAAAAAGGCAAATAAATAGTTTATCTTTATGTACTTCTTGATGTTTGCACATTTTGTGAAGCATTATTTTCGATTACGGAGATGAATATAGATTTTCGAAGTGTCAAACTTGTGTTGATTAAGAAGAGAATACTCCGTGTGCAGAATCACTCGCTTTACCAAAGATCTATTGCTTCGAATAATCATCTTCATAACATAAAACATCAGTTAAAATATCAAATTATTTCACACATTTCAGATAATTGAAAAGTAATTGAAATCGCTGCTAAAGGAGAGACACACGAAAGCATCACAAAGCCATGCTGGCAACATCGACACATGCAATACCAACCACCACATGACGTCACTGAGTGTGGAACATGTCATTCAGGTATCCCATCATGCTTCACACTTCCACATGTTTACGCATGCTAAACTGACTGACTGAAAGCGATATTCACCCTGTCTGAAAATGGAAACACCCATCGGTTAGTACAGAAAATGCATAGCAACAAAGCACTAGCGCGCGCTGTCCTTCCCATGAGAATAAACAACATACATAGTCAAAAAGTAAGCGAGAACCTCTATCATGATTTAGACGAAACAATATATGTACACTGCTGCTGTGAATAGAACTGTTATAATGAGAACATGTTTTTGATGGTGAGACGTAAGGACAAGCATGACAGCCATGGCTGAGTGGGTTTGCAACGTACCAGACTGATTAGCTTGCTTGCGACAAACTGTAGAACTTTGCAAGGAATCCGTTCCAAGACTGTTGTATTATGTAATGATTCACTTCAAAACAATATTTAAGAGAATTCATGAGGACTGAGGTTTTTCATCAATTGTGCCAATTTTAAAACGTTTCAAAATTAAAGGGAAAAAAACAAGGTAAAATAAATTATTTACATAGAATATACCCCGATCGTCTCTTGAATAACCTTAAATATTTTGCAAGCACAAAAATGTTTATCTGAAGAAGAAATTTCACCTTTCTGGCGTATTTTCGTTTGTATACAAGAGGTATGGCCAGATACCGTGCCGTCTTCCGATAGAAGGTAGGGTAATCATAATCGTACAACCTGTAGCGTGCCGGATAAACGGACCTTGAGGGGTACACCGAAAAATAATTAGAATACATCTCGATCGGCGAGGAAACTTTAGGACCATACGCAGTTTCGATCACCTGTGGCGACCTGATCGGATAATAGCTGTCGTATAGCCTGTTCATGGCGGTGTAGTAAGGCCACCTGGGATAGTAGTATGGGATAGTCGGAATTCTACTAGGATACCAGTCAGCCATGGCCGCCTTCTTGGTATAGACTCTGTAGAATGAGTCCGTGGCGGAAGCAGGTCGAGGACGTGAGAAGGAAGATACTACTACTACCTCTTTCCTCGGTCGTCGGACATAGGATTGTGAGGGAATATAGGTGGTCTTAGGTGGTGGTGGTTGGTAGGACTTGGGAGCGGCCGTTGGGTGGTGGTACGTGAAGTGGCTATGGGATCGTGCACGCCTGGAGGCCACAGCAGCTTTTGGACTGGCATGGGTCTCAGTGTTCACCTGTCGGCGAGGAGTCAAATGAGAGAATAAGGAATAATAAACATATTTCATTTGGCTGAAATATAAAAAAAATATTTAGAATAAAACTGAAAAGGAAACAAGTTTGATGACAACTGATTTCAGTTCACTGAGGAAAGATGAATGTTGTATGAGGCATAGCACGTTCGCGGAAGAGGACGAGTGTGTCTATCTAGTTGTGTTGTTTTTCATTTTAGAGTGACAATTGTTCATTCTCATGGGCAAGAATGTTATTTCAGCTCCCCCAAAGGAATACACTTGTATTCAAGCAACCCACCGTCGACGTTAGATAAGCAGAAAGCGCTGCTGGCTGGGACGATATTAACCACTTCATTTCACGAGAACACACCAATCACTGACGAAACTAGGTACAATCGGAAAGCACACTCGTTCTAGACTATGTACATTTCCAGCAAGCACACGACCAGGGACTAACGTAACTTCAAAGTTGTCTCCAATACAAGACAAAAATGAGCAAGACCGACTTTTGGACGAAACACATATAGGAATGTTTAAAGCTAACACCCATTGTTGCTCCGACACATTTATAACAATAATAGTTATTACCATCATGATATCAATAATAAGTTTAATATCACCTCCTCCTCGCATGTCTTTGAGTAAAAGTTAAAAGGATTTTCAACCGAATATGACTTTTATCTCACTAACGATAAATGCAATATTGCATAATGCTGCGTATTTAAGGAGGAAGATACAGAAACTTTGCACTGACATCATGACGTATTTTTACACCGAAGTTACCCCCGCCCTGATTAGCACATTGACAACATGGCATAGTTACGTGTATATATGATTTAGTAGGGCTTAATAGGAAGTTATACACTTTAAATATTATGAACGTGCGATTTGAATATTAATGGAGGATACATAAATATGTATATATATAAACTTTCCACAGTTGCTACGATCTTGCAAGACACTATAAGGAATGAGTCCAAGTCGGGAATAGGACGTGCAAGGGGAAGTGGATTTCTAAGATCAAACACCAGGAAGGAAATGTGAGGATCATCTCGGACTTGAAGGAAGCCTCAAACGCTTTACCTTAATCTTAATTTTTTCAAGAGTTGTAAGCTGAAGTTCTGCGTCTGGGTCGTACATTTCCATCGTATCGATTTGGTCTAGGGAAGCATCGGACGATGTCAAAGCTCTATGTCTACTTCCAACTGTTGGAAACAGGTTTAACCTCTCTCCATACAAGTAGTCCCCAATTCGTTTTCTACGACTGAGTAGTGAGGAAGTGTAACCGTAATCATATATGTCTTCATCATCCTCGTAATCTATTGCTAAAGGCAATCTCCTTCGATAACGGGGCAATCGTACTGCCTCGGAAAGGGCACTATAGCCACTTGAAAGTCTGTCTTTAATTCCCTGTCGAAAGTTTGATAAATCATTTAAGTAGCCCCTAAAATCATGATCTGATGAGCGGATAGCGTAACTAGCTGGACCCGCTAGCATTGGACCCTTCAACATAAGAGGACGAGCTACATATTCGAACCCCACAGCCTTTCCCCTGACAGGATCTTTCATTTCCCCCTCTACACTAAACACTAAAGCAGCCGAATCATACTCGTCTAAGTTAACATTCTTCAGGGCCTGCCGCGCCTTGGCGGCTGTTTGAGAAATTATATCATGGAACATGACATCGTTTGCTACCGAAGAGCCATGACGCACCGGTGAATTGCTCTGAACCAACGCGGACTTATTGATATTCAAAGCGGATCGGTAAGGCGGCATAGAAAAGAGAGGGATATCTGCGACACTCGTGTAGCGAGGAGGAGTTTCCGACTTTTCATCGTCATCATATACCCTCCGTTTTCGAGGCTGGTAAGCCATATACTCAACTGGGCTAGGCGAGCGTTCACGCGGAGGCACATAGTAGCTACTGATATGACTTGTTGTTGATTGCCCGTCGTCAATAATGTCATCACCATCATCATACATGTCATCGCATCTTATCGGATAGTTCAAATATTTGTCTCTGTCATCTTCATCATCGAATGTATCATCGATGTCACTGTAATCGTCCACATCGTAAGAGTTCTTATTTATCAGCCTAGTGTATGAACTCCCCACGCGCCCGGGCGCGACCCTTCTGTACCTGCGACCTTGTCCTAACTCCCTGTCAGGGGACTCTCTGGGGCTCTGGTAAGGAGAAATGGTTGGGGAACGAATAGGGGATTCTCTGGCGGCGCGGCGCCTAAGTTCATATCTCTCAGGATTTCGTATATCTCTATATATTGAACTAGATGCCCAATCTGATTGGGAACGAGCTCCTGATGGTTTCAATGTTAGAACACTCCTGTATGAATCCGAATCTGGCCACTCAGTCTGAAAACGCCTATGAGGGACATAAGCAGACGATACTTTCCGACCAGCGCTGGTGTCGTAGGCAGCAGGCGTGGATTTCGACGGGGGCTGCGTGAACATGTGATGGTATTTTGTATAAGTGATTGTGCTGCCTCATGATAATGCCAAACAATTTAACAGGGGGTAACTAAATGAAATATTTCTCTCCCACATGAAAAATATCTGTTGACTGGTTTAAGAAACATTCCGCGCAAAGTCTACAAAACGTTCCTGTTATTTCAATTACTTAAATCATTAATCCTACATTAAAACAAATTGGAAAATGAATTTATGAACTCATTCGGATAAGTCAACATTTCATTATTAATAATTTTTGCCAATATGAAAATATTAACAGTTCCCCAAGTATCAAATGTTACATCAAAATTTTGTTAACTTGAGGAAAACATTAAAAGCGCTAAAATTTCAATTTTATATCAATTCAAATAGTTATGACCTATTTTTGATAGTATAAATTGTACCATTTGATCTTGAGGTAACTGACCATCGACTTTCAGAATCAAAGCGAGATGACACACGGCACAACATTAAAACTAAACTTAAATAAAGCAATAGAATGTGCATTAAATCTATATTAATTTTGCCAAGAAGTTGATAAAATTGGAGTCTTCAAACTAAATCGACTGTATCGAACAGGGACTAAGAACGAAGGAATAATCGACGGAAAGGTGGAGAACAGGTAAAGAATGCGTAAGAGTTTTTATCGTGTTGAATTTTCTATGGGAAATGTTTATATATTTTTTTTAATGTTGGGGCCTCATCAAGTTCACATTAAGAAGAACTGTTCAAGTCAAAGGGTTCGCATCGTTTTGAAGTATGTTTCTTAGAAATTGGTCAGAGGGTAAGATAGAGAGTAAGATAAACAAAAATCCATGCAGTTAATTTCATCAACCAAAAATATGTCCGTTTACCTCATCTATCCAAATAGTTCTGCTTGTACACAAGTGTGCTAGAAATCAAACTTCACATCATATATACAGTGACGTTATACTACTGAAGACCAAATAAACCCATATCTGCTTTATAAAACTATCATAATAAACACGAATGCCTTTTCGAAATATAAAGCATAACATATAAGAACATTTCAAATATATAAAAATAACATGTATTTATATTTTCTACAAAGCAACACAAAACAAAGCAAATGGAAATGATGATAATTATAAAAATATGCATGGTACGTATTGCATATCTTGTATCTAATTATCATTTATTAAAAAGCAATGATTTCTACGGAATATCAATGAAATAATAAGTATGTTAAAACAGGTTAATGAAAATAGACGGATGATCTATGATGAAAACAAAGCTACAATATATAATGGCTAGTGATGATGCAGTAAGAGGAGAAGGGGGTTACTCTTAATGAATAAGGGGAGGTAACACTCGCTTTTATAATGATGCAACCAAAATTCTAGGTTTGGTGAGTATGTTACTACAGAAGTCCAACGACATGATGACTTGACATTTTGGAAAAAAAACATAGCTTCAAAGTTCATCAGCTAGCGAGTACTCATTTTCATATTAGGAAGAGCGGCAATCTCTCCCAGAATGCATTGCGGTGCCCTACGTAACACCAAGGAACAACAACTCTATCAGCGGCTGGAAGAGCGGGTTTTATGTGAATAAGGGAGAGCACTCGCGTTTTAAAGCTGCAGCAAAGAGTGAGGTGAGTGGATTATTACAGGAACAAGTCGACTTATAATGCTGATGCTAAAATGTCCCGATATACCAAGGTAAATATTAAGAACGTTTGTCCATTTTTAATACAGTTCATTCCATTGATTTCATCTCCGGATAGAATGATAATTGGAAGAGCCATTACGTACAACATATTAATATTACATTTAAGGCAGACTATTACGCCTATAACTGATATCCAGTTGATAAAGATATATGACTTTGGAATGCGATATCATGAAATGGGGAAAATTGCACGTATGATGGACAGTAGATAAAACAATATAGAGGTACGGAATGATAGTGATAGAATGCGTACTCCATCGTGGGTTAGTGCGTCTACTGTTAGTCAATTTCATATAATGAAAGCCGATGGTTTGTATCAAACATTCAACTGAGGGCCCTGATAGGATAACAAGAAATTAAAATGATAATGAGATGTCAATGGACAAAGATGAGGAAAATGAAAAATGATTTGTTTTGTGTGTATATATACCAGGACCCTGTCAGTAAATGTCATATTACTACAATCTACATTAAAATGAAACAAAAGAATAAAATCGCAAACAAATAAATCATATCAAATGAAATCAGTCTATTACAATGACATTCTCAAATGAAATAAATATTGAAATGACAGAAATGACTAATGGCTTCCTAAATCAATGTATATAATTTGTTGTGATAGATGTGTTCCGATTTTTCCCAGATATAATTAATCTCCAAATTTATTCAAATTGTTAATTTTGATTTTTTTTTTCAGGGACGACATATTTCACATGTTTTTTTCTGTATAACATGTTTATGGTTCCGGAACCATGACTATATATCACATAAACACTTATTCAAATTATCAATATCTAAACAAACAACATCAATAGATAAATCTATGTATATAAATATATATGATAGGCAGGAAAACGAAGATGTTACATCTTTATCAATAGGGAGTTAGAGGTTTTTAAATTATGCAGAACCTATCGAGGAGTTCTACTTAAAGATATTACTGAAAACCAGATAAATCTACTACTACTGACATGATTAGAATGAATATCACAGATTGTACACCTATCATCACTCACGATTGCGTTAGAGGCCTCTCGTAAAATTTCTTGGTCTCTGTTCTTGGATTTTGCCGCTACGTCGAAGGCATCATCAGCAGCGTGTGTCGAAAAGAGAAGCTCGCGGTTGACGTTTCTCCGTATCTCGTTTTCCGTCCCTGTGGTATCTAGATCAAGCAAAATTTACACGATTAATCAATTAAACATACAAATCTTCCTGCAATAACATTGTCCAAGCTTTCATAAGAAAATCATGAATATATGTTGCGAGGAAAATGTGTATATTATCCCGAATTTGAGGGTTGTGCTTCTTCTATAACATATTATGAAGCCTACGTGTTCTATTTTGCCCACTTGTATACATCAATGAAACACAACAAATGAAAAAATGAAAGCTTCAGTATATAAGTTTTAATGGTCTGAGAAACATTTAACACCAACAGTAGAAACACAATCTTAATGATAACACAATATATCAAGACCAATAACCATGAATTATCAATGATATGGAAACAAACATTTGCATTATAATTTTTGAGTGAGTTCCCAGAACTACCTGTTTCACAATGTCTCCTTTGGAGAGAATGACATTAACATTGTAATACTCACCAAAATATGTTGTATACTTGGGGCGGTAGACGTCTGTTAGGTAGAGGTCATCTATGGGTGACAGGGCCCTCCCTCCATACCCCCATTTATTTCTCAACACTGAGTGACCCTTGGTGCTCTGTAGCAGTAAAATAAAATGTATAATTACTATCAGTTATAGTGAACATTTGTAAAGTGTCGCTATTTTATTCAAAGTGAATTATCACCTGTTGTGACATCTTGAATTCAACGAATGGCACTTACTTAACGTTTCTATGAACAAAAAACAATGGATGCCCAATCATGCTCTAGATATATATATGCGTTGCGATTACAGGTTCTCGGTACAGACTACGTGCTTTTTTGTCTTGTGAGTATTGATATAAACATCAGATATGATACTTGTTCTTTCTTGTGTTACAAGATGTACGATATCATAGAAATAAAGAGAAATGGCCAGAAAATCTCCTTCCAAATCCCATAAAATCAAGAAAAGAAGCGATACCATGAGGCGCTCGGTACTACTGTGTGGAGCTGTTGATTGTTAGCCAACAGGAAGAAAGGTCAGAGAGTACTTGGTAAAACTTTCCAGATATCTTGTTGCAATTAAATCAGTGGTAAACAGATAAGAGTACAGACTTGCTAAGAAAAGGCAACGATCTTACTGCCAGACATGTAGCAGCATTTAAGTCTAATCATATCTGAATCATACTTCTTGATATTTTAAGACATAGGTAACACCCACACACGATATATAAAGAAGATGATCAAAGACAGTCGAACAATGGGTATTTTTTTTATCGGCAAACCAGATGTATGACCTATACGTTCAAACATAGAAAGAGAAGTGTATGTGCCTCGCAGATATTTAGGTATGTATGTTTTGTTAAATGTGCTGCAGTCAGTAAGTAAACAACGGAAACTCCGTAAGCAATCCTATCTATTTTCAAACTCATTAAAACACGCAGTCAAAGACAGATATAAATTGCATCGTTTGTATTGATCAATGTGTGTTTATCGTCTTACTTCCTGATGAAATATGATTTGCTGTCTATTCTTAAGACCATTTCCTTGTAAGTTACAAACCATGATATTTCTAAAGAAATCTTTTTTTCATTCCAAAGCTTTATAAGATCGAAAGCAAAGAGTTCTTTGGTTTTTGTTAAATGTTGCTCTTGTACTGGTATGTGGTAAGTACATATGAAGTGCCTTTTAACCATCATTGGTAGACAAACGTCTTTGACTTATTACTTATTGTATTTGTGATGAAGGAGACTTAGACAAATCCATGCTATCCGCAAAGCACTGAAAGAGAAGACCAAACGATGTCTAATGCTCTGTTACCAAGAATAATGAACAATAATAACCATTCCGGAGTAGTTATGTCATCCACAAACTGTAACATGTTATACAACGGACTATATATATAATATGTGTGTGTGTGTGCGTAGACTATACGTCTAAGTCCTTAGTTATACAGTACAAGTGCTGATATGACGCATCTTGTTGCCATAGATACATAAATAGACTCTGTTGATTGGACTGTTTCTATGGTTTTATTACCCTTCCTTAGAAACACAATAAAATAATAAATGTATCATTATTAAACTGGTCAGATGAACATATTATTGTCAAATTATATATGTCAATTAGTGTTTCTGTAAAAATATCTATGATTTGCATATGTAATGAAACCATTTTTATGTTGAAGTGAATTTTTTCGTAAACACTATTATATACATTATATAGAAAGAAACTAGACTGGAGTTTGTTATTTGCTCACTACATTTCTATATACAATCACCACTAACCTGTGTTTTGTCCGTTAAGATACCGTTAAACATGAAAACTCTTGGTTGAACGTCTCGTCGTAAGATACACTTGTGTCGTTAAAGTTAATGTATTTTTTAATGTAGTAACATGTAATGATATTAACAAATATGTATTCATCAACGTCAAATACTGATGCATCGACCTCAATATTTAATTAACTGTCTACTTCGTGGAGAAACCTGTCCAAACCAAACATGTCCAAGCCAAACATAAATCACTGTGTTAGTGTACATAGAGCCTCCGTATAGCAGAAACCGATATCAGAACATCTCAGTATTACTGACGTCATGAACCTTATGATCCTCTGATTACATCGAATGTCTAATTATAGCCACATTGACTTCCGTATGTGTATACATCTACATTTTCATAATTGCGGTATTCATCGTAGTTTTTTTTTAAAAGAATGCCTATCATTTTGTTATTAATGTTGGAAATGATGTCCTGTTTTTATTTGACAGCTGTGTACCCAGTTAGGAACATAAATGTCTTTCCTGATCTCATAGAACTTTAATAGAGCAAAACACATTTAATTGCAGACTGGATTTTTACAGTTACAGTTAAGTGAAGCATAAAACAATGTACGATCAATTTTATATGACAGTTCGCTACAGTATCACCCCATCTAACTAAACAAATCCTTTCATCCTTAAGACAACAATAGACTGACTCATTAGAAATACCATGCAGATTCCATTATGAATAGGTGGGGGCGATGGTAAGACAAGAACCTGTTCTGATGGTATCTCCTGTCCAACAACATGTCTAGATTTTTCGGTGTTTCAGCGAAAAACACTTCACATAGAAGGCAGGATATGTTTGGCAGAGAGAAAGAGAGAGTGGGGAGGGAGGCACTGGATCACACTCCTGCAGTCTTTATATAGAACATGTAACATTAGCCTTCCTCAAGCCATCGCTTCCTTGTGATCTGTAGCATATCGTGCACCGTGACGTCACAATGTACACTTTCGCTACTGTTTACCTAGAGGCCCATGGAAGGGGAAACCGAGTTTTAAAAAACTTGAAAGAGGCTGTTAATGTTTTTTTCCGTGTACTATTACGTGTTTTTGTTTATCAATTAACATCACGTTCATAATAATCAATTTTGCGTGTTTCCTTTTTGTACTTTATTCAATTGCAATATCCCCTTGCTTGTCTCGCTATATTTATATATAAGATGATAATCTACTAAGATTGTCTGTTTGTTTACTACTCCTGACCAATCAGAGGCAGGTGAAGCAGGTACGTGTGTGTGTTGTTCGTGTGGTTTTGTCGTTTTCAATCAACTATTTACCCAAAAGATGACAATAGCCATGCCGTTATCACGACTTGGCACCCGGAAGTGCAAATTGGGGTGAAATAAGACACGGGCATGTGTTAGCGCTTGTGCATTTACATGCATTCCTTATCTCTGAATACACGAGCCACATATACAGTTATGACGTCTGGCAACTGTTCATCATACCAATAGAAAATGTTGTTCAATGTACGAAACACTTGCCAGAATGTCGGTACCTTAAGCTCAACCACGATGACAAAAGTGCTAAGTCATCTGATTATAGTGCTAACTAGCGTCAGAAAACGATACTATCATTTCAGCTGATATCTGATATGGAATATCTATTTCAATATTTAAATCGACCGTTTTTGTTTTCCGAACTTGTCGATAAGATTTTCACATATTTAGTCCCTAGCAATACTGACCCGCATATTTAGAGGACGAAAAAGGTTTACGGTCAGTTAATGTCTTCGTAGGTAAATAATGACTTACAATCAAAATGAAGGTGTTATTCACGCGTCTTTCATACAATTATGTTGGTGGGATATATACTTCTTTAGTGTTCGATAGTTATAGTGTTCTGCTGGAGTAACACAGGACAGGTTAGATGGATCAAAATCTGTTTCATATCAAAGGAATTTTAGTTATGTGATACGATGACGTGTAGCAACGTTCTCTATAAACTCTAAATCTGAGTTTCATAGATACATACAGTTTACGTAGAAAAAGAACCACTAATAACCCCGTTTATTATCAAAACTCCTGTTTATATCATATTTAAACCAAAACTGAAAGTAATTTTGTCTTAAAACATATGAAATATATAAACGTATGGAGCTTTGTTTCATGTCTACTTATTGGTATTCGAGCAGATTTTCCTACAGTATATTTCTAGACATACACACTCACTAGGAAATTCTGACATTTTGTTAAATGTCTACGCAAGGAAAGTCTAACCAATATATTTCGTTTTCATTCCCCCGAAAACCCCCGTCTTACCTCACCCACCCCATCCACTCTACACTCATAAAAGGGAAGTTCCTTTTTCCAAACTGAAAATGTCTAACGTATTCAAGTCGACCGACCGCGGCCGTGCTGATCACATCAAAGCGACACCCATTTCATTCCTTTCAGAACAAATGCTATCATGCCTAGTTGAATCCGGTGATGGTTGAACACAAATTTTTGATAATATTTTTCACGGAATAATAATGTCAAGCGCGTATGTTGTTTGATTTAGAAGTTGACTGCGCTGTATAGTAAAAAGTTGGATTTAATTTCGAGGATCAGGGGACATGAAACTTGTTCCTAAATGTCTAAAGGATACAACCAATGTAAAACCCTAAATCTTTTCAAAGATACATTGTTTAACAACCAAAACGTCATGAAAGGATAAAAGAATAAAATGGAATAACTAATACAGGCGTCCTGTACGCGAACGCACACCTGTGTCATATTTAGATATCATGTGAATCTATAGTAAACACATCAGCCAGGATAAACAGAAAATATGTGGAATTTCACGATAACCAGTTTTATTACGTAGAGAAAGCCCCAGATATACTAAAATAGAAGTGAGTCAGGCCTGCATGATACCTCATACCAACCACACGCGCGCACGTGTAATCTATCAACCATCTGTGCCTTTAGGGCGCGCTACCGTATGATGTGCAGATTCACAGGTAATATCTCGCGTGAGCAGAAAACACCCTTACGCAAAGATATTTTGTCATGATTGAGGCACAAATCATCGTTATGATATTAATTTCCTAAAATTACTTTCTTCGTGTGTATTCAGGTCTGTTGTTATGTTCCTACAATCAAGATAATGATATCGAGATAAAGAAAATGCCGAAATCGAGATGAGAATCTAAGATACACAGATACAGATGATACAATGTAAACAAGATCCAGAGATAACCTTAAAAATAGATCGAGGGACGAATACTACAACAATAAAGACAAGAGATCCCAGAGGGATCCTGGCGCTATCCATTTTCTGGTCTGTTTGGGTTTTACGGGATCTT